GTTTGGAGGGCTTTGTGATTTATCTAGGGGTCTGAAGGTATTTGATATTGTGCTGTCTTTGGATTAATTTAGGTTGCTTTTGATGTTTCATTGAACATGATTGATCTCACTAAATGATGATGGGTCCATCAGTCATCAGCTCCTCTCATGACGTGTGATATGGACATATTTTAGATCATGAGCTCTTTAAGATAATGTAGTAGAAGAGGTGCCATTGTTTTGAGCGGGAGTATTGCCATGTTGTTTTGTACCTGTTACACTGTCTGAAGATAGTGTTAGTAATGACAAGGTCATGCTCTGTGCATTTACTGAGTAAGAGGATGCTGTTGGAATTGGCCTTTCCCACTCCTTCCATCCCAATGGTGCCCCTCCACATGCTAAAGTCCTAGCCAACTCTTGCATTGAAGTCTCCAAGAAGGATGATTTTATCTTCTTTGGGGATGTTAGTCAAGATTTCAGCAAGGTCAGCATAAAACTGTTCTTTCTCAGCATAGTGTTGTGGCATATGCACTGATGACAGTATCAAACAAATTGTTGGTCAGTTGGAGGTACAGAGTCGTGAGGTGCTCATTAATGCCAACAGGGAATACACACCAGTGCCATGTATTCGCATGTCACTTGCAAGCTTCCTTTTCCATAAGAATGTATAGTCACCCCTCCACCCCCCATCTCCATCAGATGGCCTTCGCCTGCATGTCTGGTCTTGCTGACAGCAGCAATATTGATATTGTATTGCCAGAGTTGTTGAACAGCAATACCTGTTCTACATTCAGATCTGTCACTGTTTGGATCATCTAGTAGGGTCCTACATTCCAGGATGCAGAGGACATTTTTGTTTTGACTGCAATTTGAATGATCCTCCTGGAAGCAGCTATTCATTTGGGTAGGGTAGGATAAGCTGGAAGAGTCTGTGTTTGGGGCACCTTTTCTAGCCTCTTCCCTGTGCAGGGTAAGCAAAGAGGATCCTAAAAATGACTGCTTGGTAGTAATCATAGCTGCTGAATCACCCTTCTGTCCTATACCAAGGGTGAAGCAACCAGCACACAACTGCCACCTGTGTGTGGATCCATGACTACGAACTCCTGGCAATCACTTTGTCTGTTCCTTTTGCCACTTGTCCATCGCTGCAGGACTTTGTAGAAGTTATGGGTATTGAAGATTTGGTTATTATGGTAGAAGTTGGATCCAGTGGGAGAAGCCTGCATGTGACTTGTTTTACATGAGGAGGCTGTTGTGCATCAGCAACTGCCCAGACCTTAACAGAGGAGAAACCTGTGTCCAGTGGCAAGGAGATCCAAGACATCTGGGATTACTCTTCCACTGCAGCCTTTATCTGCCTTTACAGCCATTGAGAAGTATGCCTTCTGCATCTGCCTGCTCCACTGTTGAGGTCTATATTGGACTGCTCTTTGTCTGATGCACCACTTTTGACCTTACTGTCATGGGTGACCCTACCGGGAGTACAAGACTCCTGACTATGTTGCTTTGGGGTTATCAGTATATGCAAGCCTCTTCACCCCATCAAGGTGGCAGTCCATGGAGAGGACTTGTTTCTGAAATCCAGGAAACTGTGGAAGATCTACATTTTCACAGTAATAATCTGTTTAGTAGTGACACAAACACAAGATTATACTTACTAAAAGATTTGAGTGATGTTTACTTTCTGGATCACGCGTGGAAATAGCATCTGCAACACTTGTGCACATATAGAGCAATTACCTTCAACAATGCCCTTTGTTAAAAACAGTTTCTTGCTTGGTGCTTCCATTGAAGGTTCCTTAACCTTTTCCCCTGGCCATTCTACAAAAGGGGCACGTTGCAAGAAGATGGTTCTTCTAGAACTGCATAGAGCCTGTACCCGTGCAGGTTGTTTCATTTCAGAGAAGATTGTGCTGAAATGGCTTTGGGATAGTGAGTTATCAATATAGAACTGAATGGGATAGCCCTTTTTCCTCATAAGTCATTCCTAGCTAATCTATAGAAAAGCATGGGTCATTCCTTTCCGGAAGTCTTCTACAGCAATTGAGACAATGTTATGAAGAGCTGCGCCAGAAGTTGAATTGCTGTAACTAGAGTTGGATGCAGTCTAATCAAGTTAAGGCATAGTTTGGACTGAAGGCAGCAAATAATTTGCTGTATATAGAATTATCATGGGGAGAAGTGAAACGAATTGAAATAGAAAGGACTCAATTGGAGTCCATCCAATGGCAGTCACAGACTTGGCTCTGGTACAGTCTTATCCACTAAAAAAAAATTCTGAAAGGAGCTTTCTAGCAGCATAAATCTTTCTGGGATTCCAGGGAGGGACGGAAACTTAGTGTTGGCTACATTCTTCTACTATCACCTCTCAAAGAAGGTACCCTTTCTAGTGGTCTGCACTTTCATGAGAAGGGTAAGGAAGTTCCAGGTCCTCCTGATGGGCCTTCAGTCTACATTTCATAAGTACAGGGCTGCTTACAGATGTTTATTTTTATTTTTTATGTCTGATCACAGAAAATTAGGGTTGGAAGCAACCTCGGAAGGTCATCTAGACCAACCCCCTGCTCAAAGCAGGACCATCCCCAAATGGATCATCCCAGCCAAAGCTTTGTCTAGCTGGGTCTTAAAAACCTCCAAGAGTGGAGATTCCACCACCTCTCTGGCTAACCTGTTCCAGTGTTTTACTACCCTCATAGGGAGAGGCTTGTTTTTTTTTCCCCTCCTATCTAACCTAAACTTCTCTTGCTGTGACTTGAGACTTGCTCCTTGTTCTGTCATCCACTGCCACTGAGAACAGTCCAGCTCCATCTTCTTTGTAACCTCACTTCAAGTAGTTGATGATTGCTATTAAATCCCCTCAGTCTTCTCTTCTCCAGACTAAATAAACCAAGTTAGATTAAATAAGCCTCTCCTCAGAAGTCATGTGTCCCAGCCCCCTAGTGATTTTTTTTTTTTTTTTTTTTTTTTTTTTTCCCCCTTTGCCCTTTGCTGGACTCTTTCCAATTTGTCCACATCCTTTCTGTAGTGGGGGGTCTCGAAACCGGACACAGTACTCCGGATGTGATCTCACTAATGCCAAATAGAGGGGAATAATAGTTTCCTTTGATCTGCTGGCAGTGCTCCTACTAATGCAGTCCAGTATGCTGTTGCCTTTGCAACAAGGGCATGCTAGTGGCTCATTCTGTATATTCTCCACTGTAACCCCCAGGTCCTTTTTCTGCAGGGCTGCAGTTTAGCCAGTTGGTCCCTAGCCTATGGTTCTGCATGGGATCATCCCATCCTAAGTGCAGGACTTTGCACTTTGTCCTTATTGAACCTCATGAAATTTCTTTTGGTCCAATCCTCCAGTTTGTTGAGGTCTCTCTGAATCCTACCCCCCAATCTATCTACTGCTCCTCCTACCTACAGACTAGCTGAGGGTGCACCCCATTCAGTCTTCCAGGTCGTTGATGAAGGTAGTGAACAAAACTGGCTCCAGGACCAACCCTGGAGCACTCCACTTGATGCTGGCTGCCAACTAAACATTGAGCCATTGATTACTACCCTTTTTGAGCCTGACCATCCAGCCACTTTTCTAGCCACCTTACGGTTCATCCAACCCATACTTCCTTAGGTTGCTGGTGAGAATGTTATGGGAGACTTTCAAAAACCTTGCTAAAGTCAAGGTATGTCATGTTCACTGCTCTCCCTTTTGGAACCAGTTATCTTCATCATAGAAGGCAGTCAGGTTGTTCAGCCATGACTTGCCCTTGGTGAATCCTTGCTGACTGTTCTTAGTCACTTTCTTCTCCTCCAGGTGCTTAGAAATGGATTCCTTGACTATCTGCTCCATGATTTTTCCAAGGTCTGAAATGAGTCTGACTGATCTGTAGTTCTCTGGATGGTCCTGTCTGAGGAAGTTGAAAACTGAGACATTGTTCTTTTTAGCTTCAAGTCTTTTTCCACTAAATCTTTCTTTACCAGCTGAAGCAAAACTTTGCTGTCCTCTTATCTGGAAAGAATTTGATTGATTGATCGGAGCCTCCCCGAGACTCTCACACTTGAGACCAGTGGTCTCATCATAGAGACAGTATATTGGACATGTGCATCCTGAACCCAAATGGCTTCTCCTTCCTCTTGAATAAAGCCTTAAAGAGGTGTGGAGCTGTTGCAGTGGAGTTCAGTTCATACTTTTACCACTCAGTATTCTTTGACGCAGGCCTCTACTTCAGAGCAGGTTTTAGTAGGGCAGGCCTTCAGCTCATATTTATAAATAACTCTCTCATTTATATCTGTGAGAGAGAATATAAATAAATAATTACTGAAAGAAAAGTTGCTTAATAGTAACTAACTCTTCCAGATTTCACAATCCATCCTCCACACCCATTGATCTGGAGTTCTAACATGAGATTCTTCATTAGTAAAGAAGCTAAGGGGCAGCTATGAGCATCCTGTTCCTTTTTATAACCTCAATCACAGGGCTTACACACTGCAAGGCTGCAGACCTGGCCCTTGACAGAACACTTTTCTGAAGAAAGGAGTGATGGAGCCCATATGAATTATGTATCTCAAATAATGTAAGGTAATAGTTCTTTGTCATTGCAAGATGCTAATTCTGTATAATCCTTGAATGACTTAATGTCTTTGGGATATGTCTTGCAGTTTATCTACATTAGGAAATTATATTCTTTAAACAGCTATACCAGTAGAACTTCCCAGGCAGATAACATTTGTACACCAGACTGGGTGGGTTGGTTTGTTTTTCTTGTTTAGCTCCCATGTCACTTTAGAAGCAATTTAAAATGGGGGAAGCCTGTCTTTTCATAGTAAGAGTTACTGATATAGCTAAATTGCTATAGCTCCATCTGAATAACTGGAAGAGTTTCCCATAACTCAGTGTAAGAGTAATTGCTACGGAAAAATAGAGGATCAGACCTACTAGTGAAATTTTTAAAGTTGAAATTTTCATTGAAAAATGTAAGAATCTTCATGAGGTCATACAGTAAGCCACAGAAGTTCAAAAACTGTTTGCTGTTTTACAGAAACTTGGCTCTTTGAACAATGAGCCAGCTCTACCTTCTACAAGCTATTTGCCTGCTACCCCCAGTGTGGTGCCATCCTCTTCCTATATCCCAAGCTCAGAAACACAGCCAGGTAAAACTTTTTTTTCTTGCTGCTGGGCATTTTTGCTACATTTGGTTTGCTTGTACATTTTTATTGCCTAGCATTACAAATGCAGGACTGAAACTTTCTTGCCATAAGTAATCCCACTGATTTCCACAGGACTATTTATGTGACTAAGAGTTGTCAAAATGGGACCTTGGGTTCTTTTTCAGTTGCCTGACTCGCCATTTTACACACCTTTTATAAAAGAAGGGAAATGTTCTTTCCTTGCGTTTATTAAATTGCTGTTGGTTACAGGGGTGACTTAAGGCCAAGCAGCTTCAGGTTTTAACTCTTAAATAGTTCATTTGCTTGGTTTTTAATAGAAAATCTGATTGTAAAACATCAATAATGTGGATAGATCCTGAAATTTGCCTTGTGGGACTGGTATGTGGTGGGGGGGAAAGAGGGGTGTTAATCTCTTTTAAAGTGTTAACTGTAGTGAAGGCTTCCTACTCTAATACAGTCTGTGGTTGAACACTTTCCACTCTCTCTGTCTTCCCCTTGTTTTTTATAAAGGTTCCTAGGTATAGCTTAAATGGCTAAATATTTCAAAAATGTTAAACTAAATTACATTCAATAATAGAGGATGGTCAAGAATAAAATGACAGCATATTTTGGATCAAAGCATTTTTAAAAAATGGTCTTTTCCCACCTTTCCACGTGTCTAGATCTGTAATGAAACTGCAGCATTGTTGCAGTGGAGACCTATCATGTATGTCTGTAAGATGCCTTAATATACCTAAATCAGGCTTTGTTATTAAAGCACTTTGGGATGTTTCAGTCAACATGAACTGATGTAACCATATGAAAACTATAACCGCTCATGCAGACTTGTCATTGCAGGAGTGCTTACTTTTCAGTACGTAAGCTATGGTGTGCTGTTCACCACAGACAGAGGCATGTGCTCAGAAGCAAAGCTCCACGTTTCTCTGAATAAACCTCCCTCTGGTTGAAAAATGGCAGCTCTGGAAAGACCCTGGTCAAAGAGCATCACCATTAACAGGCCCTAGTGCTAATTTTTAGGGTATAGGCATTATGTTGAATTGCAGAAAAATCAACATGTATATTTCTGAGTCTTGTATTTGTCTTCATGTTTCCTCACTACACTTTCCTTCCATCTCCTCTTTTTATAACCAGCAAATATAAAGTTGTTGCTTTAATAGATGCTGTATAAAGAGAACATTGGCTTAATATAATTTTGAAGGAGTGTGCTCTTTCTGAGGATCTTAACATTTCTTAGCTGAGAGAGAGCTGTTAAAAGTCTAGGTTTTTGTCTCTGTTCTACAGACTGAAATTTTGACACGGGTCAAATGATTTGCCTGAGGTCACTAGAGTTAATGCCAGAGCCAGACATGGAACCCAGGAATCACGATTCCCTGGCTGTCCTTTCATCTGGAGACAACTCTCTCCATAGTCTGTAAATAATAAACCTTCTCTCCTTGTAAAATATATACGTTGCTGTGCCATAAGGCTGTGTTCCCCAGAGCCTGTGTTTAACTGTATTAGTTGGTTAACCTCATTTTTAGAGGGTTTAATAGCACTCTCTTTCTAAAAATTGTATAGTTTTGTTTAAAATGAGAGGCCCAGGATTACGAGCCTCCAGCAGTGTTCTTGCATCAATTTGTTTCACTTGCATTTATTCTTTCATTCTACTTTGGATGGAAAAATATTGAAAATGGTGTATCCAGTTTTGAATGGACTGTAGCCCACAGTCGGTGTGAACAGAGCCAAAAACAAATCATAGCATGATAAGGTCAGAGAGGCATAGGAGAACTTAATTTTTATTTAAATAGGCAAATTTTTTGTATATTTTTGGCTGCTTATTTCTTCACATTTTAGCCTTGTACTTAACTAATGGACAGTCAGTCATACAAGATGCATGCAGTCCATTCACCACTTGATTACTTTCTTCTGCCTCTATCCATGCTCTAGTTTAGCAGTCTGCAACCTACAGCCTGCAGGCTGGATCCAGCCCATGAAAATCCAAACCCTATCTGTAGTGGCACAGGGGGTCAGTGGCATGCAGCTTGGCCCAGTGCATCCCCTTTCTCTACACTGCACTGCACCACACCACACCATGTTGCCGATGCCCTCTGCAGTTCTCCGTGATGCTTTCTGGCCCTTATACTGCCAGACTTGTCTGTGTGGGACTTTCCCTGGATTGTAATTTTTTGAGACTAGGTTTGGAATAGGCTCCAAATCTGATTTGGGAGATGTATTTTTCTAATGGCTTCTGCTTGGGGAGAAAAGTGAAATCTCATTGGCAAGGCCAACTCCTGGTAAGAGAGAACTCCTTCTCATTTTAAGTCCACATTTAAACAAATGATCTGGGGACTGGTTTTGAATTCTGCAATGCCTGTTGCATAGGTTTTTCTGTCCATGTCCTTAATCTGCACTAACGGGCTGAGAATTGGGCAAAGTAGAGGTGTTCAAGAAGCCCGTGGTGGAAGCACTCTAACTTTTCAACCTTTACTTGAAGTGCCTCCATTTAGGTCAGGAGGAAGCAGAAGGCATGTGGTGGGGGCCTCGGAGCTTCCCTACGCAGCCTGAGTGCAGTGGGTAGGGGGGGCTCTTGCATGTCTCGCAACATGCCCCATCAGCTCCCTGGGCTGCCAAAGACTCCCAAGTGGAGCTGAACAACCAAGCCACCCCTGATGGGCCCACGATCATGGGAGGGAGGTTGGCGGTTGCCCTGAGGGGTCAGTACAGTGAGTGCCTACGCTGTGAGAATTGGAATCAGGTGGCCCCCATTGGACTTCACCCAAGGTTTGGATCAGAGGGGATGGGGGGATAGTGCTGTTGGGCTGCTTACCAGCCTGTCCATATGTGGAGCCTGGGGGTTGCCCTGGCAGTGAGAGCTGGGTGGCTGAAATAATGGTTCCCATGCAGGAATCCTTCCATCACATGTATTCCTTTCCTGGACTCAGAGGGAGGGAGGTTTGGGGGGGTTTTTGGAAAGGGGATGTCTCTTTTCTTATTCCTGCTGCACCACAAATGTTATTGATGCCTTTCTGTGAGTGTCTTGGGGGAGCGGGCAGCTGTTTACACACAAGTGCTCAGGGTATCTGTGCTTAGGCTTAGATCTCCCATGGAGTGCACCATGGCCCTGATGGAAATGGCAAGGACATGTCAAGTGCACAGATTTATGATCCCATTGAATGGGATATGCTGTCCTAAGTACCCAAGAGCAGGGGGTGAGGAAGAGGATTTGGTGCTTTGGCTGGGCTCCAGGTTTCAGCATGTGGCGGTGTGGGGGGGAAGTGAGCAATTCACTGTCCCCCTATGCTGTGACATTTCTGCCCACATCCACTCCAGCCCCAACCCCTTTGTGGGCTTCTCAGCCATCATGGCCTGAGAGAGGAGCTGTGACCACTGGGGCTAGTCTGTGGTGGCCTCGGCTCCCCCTGCCCCTGGGGCTTTGCATTTCCCGTGCGACCGTCACGGTTGCATGGAGTTGGGTCGAATGTTACCATCATGGGTTGCACAACATCCTCACGCAGGCTTTGACTCATCAGGAGAAGTGTTGGGAGAACTGGCCATGGGTCCTGTGGGTCGTGTTAGTGCAGCAGCCACTGCACTAGTACGGGGGGCTGGTACATGCTCCATGCCTCTAAGAGGGGCACAGACATGTGAGAGGACTTGCTCTGGAATAGCTGCAGCCCCTGTTCAGGATAACATGTTGCAGGGCCCCCCTCTGCTGCCCCCTCCAGGGGATTCCCTGTGGGCGACTCCTGAAATACCCCGATCTTGTGGGCATGGGAAGTGCCATCTGTCCTGCTCTGGGAAAGGATACAGGAGAGGTCCTTGAAGAATGACATGGTCTGCCCCCGGCTCCAGACTGGTTTCTAGAATCAAGTATGCGGTGATGCCTCCTCCTTAATGTTGTCTTGGTGAGGCACTGCTCTCAGTCTGTGACCCCTTGCCTGAATCTGCTGGGTGATGCAGTTGAAGACATGTTTGATTTTAATGCTTTATCTGAAGCTGGCACTGGATGCGTTTCTCACCCCAGATGGCAATGAGATCCTTTATTTTTCCATAGTACCAGTTCTGTGCCTGGGTTTGGCTGGTGGTGGCAGGTGGCCTGGGTTTGTCCATGGTCTGCCGTGGTGCCTGTTGGGGTTTCTGTGTCGGGGGGTGAGTGATGGTCTGGCTGTGAAGGGGGTGGATGGCAGGCTGTAAGGGTGGATGGATAGAAGCAGCAGTGGATGTGGGAGGGTGCAGTTCCTGGTGCGTGGTTTTCGCTCTTGCTTCAGAGGCTTGGCACCCCTGCTTCACCTTGTCAGTGACCACCCAGGGCCAGGGTCAGCCCGGTGCTCAGGCAGAGGAGTTTAGCTCTGGCTAAAGCTAAACCAGTGCCCTGCAAGGGGGGTTGAGCAGCAGTGCCGCAAAGTTGCTGGTGAAATGCTATGTAATATGCATCACGATGGGATCTGTTATGAATGTTCAGTATGGTGCTTTCGCTTAAAGTGCTAAAGTCTGATACCACATCCATCCAGGGTTATCTTAGAGTGGGATCTGCCATTTTTACAGCACTCTGTGCCCTTACCATCTGTTTGGTTACAACTGTAGAGTGCTCTCTGCACTCCTATCACACAATAGTATAACTTTTATGTACCTGGCCTCAATTTCCACTTCCCTTGTAAGTTGCTTCTGTTTTTTCATTTCAGGAAGTGGAACATTTCTGTAGTCTCAGCTACTGTATAATTGGTCCTCCAACAATAAGTATACTCCCACTACAGTACACTTATAATGATGGAAGTATGAAAACCAAGTGTGTAATGCAGATTCCATTAAATGCAAATTCTAATTATATAATACAACCAGTAGAAGTTGCTCAAGTCTGTCCAATTATTGCTAAAAAAAATAAAATAAAACAATGTAATAGGAAGGAAAAGAGAATTTTGGTTTTTTCCATCTTAATCTGTAAATAGAAATAAATGGCTTATTGAATCATATTACTAAGATGTAACTATCTGGATGTGCTTGTCTACAAGTACGAAAGCCATGTCCAATTATGGGTGAATCCTTTTTAACTGTCCTGGCTTTGTTTCAGCAGCTGGCTCTACTCGGGAGGTCTTGCAGACTAACAGGCAGCCAGAAGAGCCTACAACTCCAAGCACTACTACTCTTCCTGCTCAGTTCAAACAGAGAACCCCTATGTACAATAGTAACTCTAACCACTGAACAATTCTATAAAAGGTGAGCACCACTTATGGCACCTCAGCCTAGTATTTGAGGGACCACTGTTCAGTATTTGATGGCAAGAGTTTAGTTGCTTCCTTTTAGGAGCGTGTTCTTGGTGTGAATCCATAGTAAGTGAAGTGCTGAAGCTCTGGAGGTGAGGGGAGAGATTTAAGATTCAGCCCCGTCTTCCATGTTTCTGGTTGTTATAT